TTAATGCCTTGGAGAGGTGCTGGGGTATTTGGGGTCCATGACCACTCCCTAAAGCTGTTTTTGAATTCTGCAGCTTCAGAGTCCCACGTGAGGGGGACACAGAGCAGCCAGCACAGGAGACGTGGCAGGCAGGTGGTGTCAAAGGTGAGGAGCTGGTGGGCTCGGGGACTCTTGGCTCCCTCCCCTCCACAGCGGGGGTGCAGGTGTCACAGCCCCAGTGCTTTCTCTCCCCCCCCCCAGGACTTCAGTCCCGTGATGTCACAAGCTCGTTGCTATGGAGACGTCAGGTAAGGAACCAGCCCAGGGTGAAATCACAGGCTGCTCTTAGCCCAGCTGGGACCAGGCTGCGTCACTGCCAGGAGCCACTGGAAAAACAGCTTCAAGGAGCATGGGGGCTGGGGCCAGCTGGAGGGGACCGCGAGCTCCTGCCTTTCTTGCGGTCTCCCATTTCCCAAGGGAACCGGGGGAGACACCTCCTTTCTGGCCCCACCTAACTCCCTCAACCCCAAGGTGGTCCGAGGCCCCTTTTCACACTGCTCCCTCCTCCCTTTGCCCTGGCCTCAGGAGTGACAGGCTTCTGGTCACCACAGCAACAGGAGGGGCCATCTCTATCCTTCAGAGAGTGAGCCATCACCCAGATGCCTGTCCACCCCTCCACGTTCAGTCAGAACTTCCTTTCCGCTCAGGGATGTCTCCTGCCTCCGTCCCCAGCGCCCCATCACACAGCCTACCAGCAGACATGGAACCCGAACCCATCTTGCGGCCAAGCTCACACCCCGGGCTCCCTGCTTGTTCCCTCGGGGCCCCTTATTGGATTCAGAGCCACCCAGCGCCTGTTGCTGTCCTTTAGGGCTTGGTGTCCCAGCATGAGTCACCGTGGCTGCCATCTGTCCCCTGAGTGTCTCCCGGGAAGGGAGGGGAGGTCCTGTTAACCTCTGCGATTTCCCAGAGGCCCGGCACGGGCCAGGGCGACTTCTTGTGGAAACCACGCAGTAACCAAGCAGCAGCCTGGGCACCACCCACTCCCACAGTGCCCGTCCCCAGCCAGCCACGGCTCCTGCTCTAGGTGTCTCCTGCTCTAGGTGCGCAGGTGGCCCCTCCAGACGCCCCTGCCCAGCTGTGACAGCCACACTCTGTCCCGGGCCCTGGAGGAGCGGCTGCCCCCATGTCTGGCCCCGGGATCCAGCCCCCACACTTTCCTACAAGGCCCTGGGTGCAGCCACATGGCTGGGCCCCAGGGGCTTCTGCTTCTCCAGGAGATGAGAATCTCAGAGCAGGAGGAGGTGCATGCTCCACAGCGGCTGCTTTGTTCCTGCCTCGGTTTCTTTTTCTGGACAAGGGGATAGATCCTGGCCAGCCGCTTCTCTGGTGCTGTCCTCCCTTAGAGGGAGGCCATCCAGGGTGAGCCTTTGGCCTCCACCTGGTGAGTCACTGCCTGGGAGCAGGTCACGGAGCTTGGCATCGATAGTGTCCCCAGCAGACTGAATGTCCTCCTCTCCCCAGGACATCTGTTTGCAAGTCACTTGGGCCTGGATGATAGCTTCGTCCTTGGGTTGGTTTAGCTCAGAGCTGCCCAAGGAAATCCTCTTCTTTCCACCCACAGCAAAGGACCTCACACACCCCTGCTCCTTCTGTGTCCCCTGCCAACCTGAGTGCGGTCAGGCTCTCTGGACAGCTGTTCTAACCTCACCTCCTCCAGGCAGCCTGCCCAGATTGGCCTCTGCTGGATCAGGTGACTCCTTCACCAGGAGCCCTATGGGGCCCAGGCTGGCTTTCAGTGATTCGCTGCTACTGTTCAGGACACATCTGCTATTTCTTGGGTACTTTCCTTTCCTTTCCATCCACTGTCCTTCCCTGAACCCTTCAAATAACCCTGCAGAGTAGACACCTTCATGTCCACTTTAGAGATAGGGAAACCGAGGCTCAGAGAGGTTAAATTATTTATGCAGGGTTACAGCACCCCTTTCGGCTAGTAAACGCCAAAGAGGTTCAAACCTAGGCCAAGTCCAGCTGGAGATATTGGTGCACATCTGTAATCCCAGCTACTCCACAGGCTGAGGCAGGGGGACCGCCAATTCAAGGCTGGCCTGGGCAACTTAGGAAGATTCTATCTTAAAATTTAAAAAAGCTGGGATGTAGCAAAATTCAATTCCCAGTACCATAGAAGGGGGCGGGGAGGGGTTGGGGTGTAACTCGGTGGCACAGCACTTGCCTAGCATGTGTAAGGCCCTGGGTTCAATCCCTAGTGCCACCAGAATTGTGCTCTGGGGTCACACAGACGTGCATTGGAGGAAAGGCCTGTGTCTCTAGGCTCTGGGCCCCTCCCAGGTGGAAGAAAAACTAACTGGGTCAGGGAAGCGAAGGCTCAGCCTGGCTCAGCATAAGCACCCAACAAATGGTAGCTTAAAAATAGATAACAAACACAAAACAGCTCCCGGAAACAGCGTTAATCTAGTCCCTGTCACTTTCCTGCTGTCCTCAGACCCTGAGTAAGCGAACACCTGCCCGGCCTCCTCTCCATGAGGCAGGACAGCACCCTTTTCAGCCAGAAGCTCTGGATCCGCTGTGTGCACAGAAAGCAAATCACACACATTCCCCAGGGGCGGAAGTGCGGGTGCTTACGTGGGGCTCTGTGGCAGCACAGATGACACTGCGAACGCTTTGCAGGAATGAAGCCACTGGGTCCCCGGCAACCAGAAGACACCAACACTGTCACCTTCCCATTTTAGGGCCAAGGACACGGACGGTGATGAGACGCTGAGGTCACTGAGGTGTCCACACAAGCCTAAGCAAGTCGCTGAGGTCACGAGGCTCATGAAGCGGGGAGGGGTAGAAATTCAAACCTCAGCTGGCCGGGGAAAGCCTGGACCTGAGGTGCGGGTGGTACAGGCTCCAGGCACAGGGTGGGCATTGACACAGAGCTCACAATTCTGGGTGCTCAGGCTGTGCCCTGGACCCTGCACTGCCTGGGCAGATGGGCTGTTATTAACAGCACAGGTGTGAAGAACAGGTGGGAACTCAGGAGCCCAAGGAGTCCTGCAGCTCCAGGGAGCAGGGCAGATGCAGGCAATGCAAGCCAACGACACCCCCCAGGATGGGTCTGTGCACAGGGTTCAAGCCTTGGCTCTGCTATTTCATAGCAATCCATGAGTCATTCAACTAGCTCCTGCCTGGTCCTTGTAAAACAAGGACTATGGTGGTATAGGGCCAAAGCTGGCTTTTTTTTTTTTTTTTTTTCCTTAATTTGTTTTTGTTGGTCCTGGGGATCGAACTCATAACCTCACATCTTCCAGGCAGGCATTCAAGTCACTGAGCTAAATCCCCAGCTCCAAAGCTGGCTTTTTGTGCCAAAAACTTCCAGACTATACCTGGTAAGCAGTAAGCACCTGGACTGTATCAGTGACAGCTGGAGGGTAGGTGGCCTCCGTCCCATTTGTCCTGCTGCATACTAAGGCTACAAGTGGCCCTGTGCACTCAGCAGGGCCTGGGGATGGCCCTGGGGAAGCCAGGCAGACCAGAGAAGGTGGAGAGGGTGTGTCCTGGCCAGGGTGACCTCAGACAGGCCTGGCAGAGGGAGCATCAAGCATGGGACAGAGAGGACTTGGACTTCAGCTTAATGGTGTGACCTTGGCAGGGGTCTCTTGCTCTCAGGCCTCTGCTCTGTGCTCCCTGACCCTCAACTCACAGACCAGTCCACCTGGGGCACGGTCTCCACGGCACTGGGCACAGGATGACCAGGTGATGGGGAAGGGACACATTCCCCGAGGCAGTGTCCAGGTGCCCAAGGCCAGCCGCACATTGACTCTGCCTGGAGCCTTGGGGGTTTCTGGGGACACCTTAGATGTTGAGAGCTGAGAGCCTACGACTCCTAGAGAACCTGCAATGCTCAGCACTCTGAGAGCGGCCTCCCCTCCCAGAGGGCTGCAGGCACAAAGACCCGGCCTGCTCCGCATCTGCACACAGTAGGTGCCCTATGAACTCGCGAGGCCTGGCCAGCAGCTAACGAAGCTTCTCTGGCCTGAGCTGTTCATTCCCCTCCCCGACTCACAATCCCACCTCTACACCTCCCAGGGACATCCACAGCCACCTTCCCAAGTGTCCCCAGAAGCCTGTAACAAAGTCCTGGGAGGGGGAGGGGCCCTGCTCCTGCCTCCAATCATCCAGACCAGTCCATCCCTCTGCACCCGAATAAGCATTGGGGGTGGTGGTGACCGGTGGGATGTCTGTCCCACCGACTTTGAGGTCAGGGTCACTGATCTGGCCAGGGCCACCAGAGCCCCACACCCTAGTCCTGCTGCGGGATGAAGGTCCCAGGTGAGAACCAAGCCCAGCCCAGCCTCTTCCTAAGGTGCTGCCCAGCAGCTTGCTGGGGAGGGGGCTCCGGAGTCACTGAGCCCATTCCCCAGCCTCTGGACCCCACTCACGGGCAGTGGGTCCTCAGGCCTGGCCTGGGTCCCCAGGTGGGGGCAGCTCACCCCAGCTCCTTGGCAGCACGTTGGGGACAGTCAAGGGTGTCAGGTCAAAGAGAAAAGCAGCGGTCCCCCTAGCCTCAGCTGTCCCCTGACCCCTCCAGCGTCCTGTCCTGATCAGGTAGGGAGGCTCAGGGTCAGGGATGCGAGCAGAAGGGAAACCTTGTTTAGAGCTCGTACCACCCTTAACCCCTTCCTGCCGGGCCCTGGCATTGCGGGTGGGGGCGGGGTGTAACGAGGTCTGAGTGTTGGGGCGCCGAGGAGGGGCGGGTCTACTTTATCTCCCTGGACCCCCTTCCCTAGGAGGAGCCAGGGGGAATCCGAAGCCTCCAGCCAGGCGCCCCGCGGGGGCTTGTGGCCGCAGGGAACACAGCGTGCGGGGGACCCTGCTCCATGCCACCTGCCGGGTGGAAGCCGGGCTGGCATGCGGGGACCTCCGCCCCTCGCAGCTCCAGTCCCGGGGTGCTGCTGGTCCGCTGCCCCACCCGCCTCCTCGGAGCGGCCGCGTCCCCAGGCCCCCGCGCCCCTCACCTCGCGACACGCAGGAGCCCATCACCATCACGGGGCCGCGAGGCCGCGCCGCTGCGCCTGGGGTGCGACGGGCCGGGCGCTCATGTCTCCTCCGCCCGGGCACGCGTGGCGCTGGCGCAGGGCGGGCGCAGGCGGAGGGCGACCCGCAGGGGCCGGGCTTGGGCTGTGCGCTCTCGGCCTGGCTCGCGCCGGGTCTTCCCCGCCGCCAACGCCTCCCACGCGGCGCAGGCTGCTGCCAGGGGCGGTGACACGGCGGGGCGGGGCGGGGTGCACAGGCTGGGGCTGGGGGGGGTCCGGAGGGAGGGGGAGGGGAGGGGGATGGAAGGGAGGGGAGGGGAGGGTGGGGAGGGGAGGAGAGGGACGGAGGGGAGGGGAGGGTGCCCCCCCACCGCCGCGCACTCCTCTCAGACCTGGGGGGGACGCGGGCCGGTGTGGAGGGACCCCAGTTTTGCTCAGGTCAACCTGAGGCTGAAGGTCAGATGCAGCAGGGTAGGAAGGCTGCAGGCGGAGCCTAAAGTAAACATTAATTTAATGACAGTGACCTGCACACACAGTGAGCTGCACACACAGTGACTCCAGTGGCTTGTTCTGCAGAGGGAGGCCCTGAGGGTCCCGATGTCGGGGTGCCTTCTGGGGACCCTCAGTGTGAGGGTCAGTGCCTTTGACCTTGGGCTCCTCATCTGGGGGCTGCTGGTCCAAGGTGGGGGCACAGAGAGTGCACTAGTGGCCTCTGTGCTGGACAAGGGAGGTCTAGTACACTGAAGGGGTCAAGGGCTGCCTAGGGAAGAAGGGTAAACTTAGGCAGGAATTTTTTGTCTCCATCCCGGGTGTCCGCCAGTGGAGCACGAGCAGCTACGTCTCATCACACACACACTGGTACACTCACACTCAACTCTGTGTGAGCGAACTCTTCCATGTGTACCTCCCCCACTCACTCTGCATGTACACCCACATTTGTGCACATATTTACACACACATTTGCACACACACTGGCTCGGGGCGGGGGTCACTGGGGGTCCCTTGGCCAACCCTCCCCGGTCTGAAGCACACGCACTTGGACCTGTGCTGCTTCCCTGTCCTCCTGCCACTGCAGGTGACCCCATAGGATGACAGATTTGAGGCAGGGCACTGGGGCGTGGCCGGAGGCTCAGCTCCTGGGTGCTGGGTGACCTCTGTGAGCTGCTTCCCCTGCGGGGCTCGGCTTTTCACTTGTTAGCTGTGGGTAAAAATGTCGCCTGATGAAACTGCTGTGAGGGCTAGTGACATAATACAGGCAAAAACACTGACTCTTGGTGGGTACTTACGGCTAAACTGAGTAGTCCTCAGTGTCTGTAGGACCTACATTTCCTTGGATTCAATCACCTGCAGCTTAAAAATATCCAAAAAACAAAGAATGAGTCTGTACTGCGTATGCATTGATTTTTTTCTTGTCTCTTCTCCCCCTCCCCTCTTTGGTGGCCTCTGCAGTCATTCTTTTTAATTTTTATTTTAAGACAGGGTTTCATTACATTGCTAAGTTCCCCAGGCTGGGCTCAAACTTGTGATCCTCCTGCCTCAGCCTCCCAGAGTGCTGGGATTACAAAGCATGCGCTACCTCACCTGGATTTTCCTTGTCTTTATTCCCTGCACAGTACAGAATAACCGCTACCTGCAGCATTTGACCTGAGATGACCTGAGTCTACAGGACGGAGGTGGTAAGCAGATGCCACACTGTTGTATAGAAAGCATCCACCTGGAACATCCACAGATTTTGGTATCCTTGGATGATGGGGGTCTTGGAACTAATCCTTCATGGACTCTGGGGCAGAACTGTAGTACTTTGAAACAGGGTCTCACTATGCTGTCCAGGCTGGTTTTGAACTCACTATGTAGCCCAGGTTGACCTTGAACTCTTTTGATCCTCCTGTCTCAGCCTCCTGACTGCTGGGATTGCACATATACATCACCACATCTGGCTCAAGCGGAGACTGAGAGAGACAGCATCCCAAGTCTGCTGCTCCGTTACCTCCCCCAGCTTCCCACAGGCAGGGGAGGTGGGAGCCCCCACTTAGGAGACACATAGGAAGCGCCTACTGTGTGCCAGTGGGAAGGGGGCAGGAGCACCTGTCTCTGAGTGAGTACCACGTGGGTGCAGCTGCTCCGCCCTCCCACTCTGGCCTTGCTGAGGCGGCTCTGTGGGGACCTGGGCAGAGGAAACAGAAGTCCTTTTTCTCATTCCTGGCATGGAGTGGCTGGGGCTGGCTTGGAGAAGGGCTCTGACTCACCGTGACGCAGGATGGTCCGTCATAGCTGCTGGCAGCTCGACAGCTCCAGGACACAAGGGACAGAAGGGGACCCCTGCAGAGAGGACAGGCAACTCACTCACAGGAGAGGATCGCTCTATGTGGACTGAGACAAGACGAGGCTGGGCCGTTGGCTATCCCTTTGGTGCCTCCAGCCCCTGGCGCTCACGCAGGTTAGCTCCGTGCCAGCCCAATCCTCTCAGTGGACCCGCTGCTCCTCAGAGAGGGGTGGAGGTTTGCCAAGGTCACACAGCAGATCGGTGGCAGAGTGAGGACTAGAACTCAGAGCTCCTGCCCGGCAGCCAGGTCTGGCCCCAGCCTGAGCCTGGGCCCTGTGGGGGCAGCGCTCCCCCATTGCGTGTCCACAGTCACCTTCCCAGCCCTTGGAGTTCCGCTGAAGCGGACGATGTCCAGACAGCTCTGAGAAGTGTGGCTGTCCTCAGGCAGGCTGCCCTGTCCAGCTCACCTCATCTGCCCTGTGACCTTCGATGCCTCCCTCAGTGCCCTCCGGCTATGCAGGAAGGGCAGTCAGGCCACGCCCTTCCCACCTGGCCTCCCATTCTCTCAGTATGTCCTGGGCATCCAGGGAGCGTGCCCTCCTGCAGGCTACCCCACTTGCTCCTGCTCATTTGTGGTCACTAAACAGCTCTGAATGCCGGCCCTACTCTGGGCACTGGAGCGTGGACACTGCAGGGCTTGGTTGGAGAAAGATTAATCAGGTCCTCAGGAGCTGCCACAGAATGGACGCAGCCAGTGCCTGCAGGGCATCCTGGGGGCAGGACGGAGACAATTCCCTTCCGAGGAGCCACTGCATGGATGGCTTGAGGTCAAAGCGGAAGGTGCTGCATCCCCTGCCAGATGAGTTCGTGAGGAGGTCCTTCTGCAGAGGCTCACCACAGGGACAGCCGAGGTGACAGCGACCCTGAAAGTACACTTTGAAGGCTGGGTGGGATGTTGACAGGCTCTTCACATATGAAGGTTTGGAGGCAGGGACATCTCAGGACACCGAGGCAGTAGCATTTGGGGGACAGTGAACAGCTGCTGCCCTTCTCAGACCTCCAGCATTCCCCTAGGGAGGCTAGCGGCTGACAAGCAGAACATCGAGGTGCTGGGCAGACCTGGGTTTGGATCCTGTGCCCAGAAGGATGTGTAGCAGGCACCTAGTGCGTGTTGACTGAATGCAAGAGAACAGGGCTCACCCAAGGTCCCGTGTCTGGGAAGCAGTCACAGCCACGGCTGAGTCAACTCTCAGAGCACTGAGGGGGCCAGGCTCTGTCTGGTCTGAGTTGATGCTGGACTGAGGCGGGCAGGGCACTGCAGACTGGAACTCATGGGTTCACAGGGAACCCACCTGTTTCCTCTCTGCGAAGTGCACTGCCATCTGTCACCCTGTATGTGTGTGGGGTCCCCTGTTTCTCTGGTCAGGGTTGGAGCTGGGAGCCTTCCTAGGAATCACAAGAAAGAAGGCCACAGGCTGAGTTCAGAGTATGGCCACTCTCAGCGGAGAGTGGATCTGATTGTCACCTGACCCCATTCTCTGTACCTGTGGATCTGATTGTCACCTGTCCTTATCCCCAGGACAATCAGCTGGATGGACAAGATAGGGGAGGGAGAGAGAGATCAGGAAAGCTCTTGGTGTTCAAGGAGGCAGAGCCCACAGGGAGCTCCAGGTCCAAGGGAGGAAACGCCTGCCGTGTGGGGCCCTAGGACACGGGGAGAGACCAACCCCCACCCAGGGGGCCTATGGAGCAGAGGGAGATGCTGAGGTTTCTCCAGAGCGCCTGGCCCACCCAGGACTCAGAGGCTGGCATCCTGCCTCCCAGGTGCCAGGGTCTCCGCAGGCAGGAAGAGGCCCCTGCTAGAAGACAGGCACAGATACTGAGGGGGCGCCTGGAGCTGACTGTGAGTGTCATGCCTTGGGTGGCCACTGTGGGGCAGCCTGAGACAATGCCATCCTCCCCAGCCTCCATTTCCCTTCCTCCCTCAGCTAAGTGACCCAGAAAGTACCACGCTGGCAACTGAGACCGGGCCAGGGCTCAGGGCTGTGCACGCCACACCCTGTGCAATGGAGCCGGGCACAGGCAGAGGGGACCAGTTCTCTCACATGGGGTGATGTCTGCCCTAGGGTGGGACTCAGGCCTCAGCACCAAGGTGGCATCTTCTCTGAGCTGTGCCTGCCAGGGTTCCACTATCTTTTCCTGGTTGGCACCGTCTCCTAGAGGCTGGCAGTGCTCCTGGAAGTGCCTGGTCCTGACTCCCACACTATGGATGTTAGCAGCAGAGCTGGGACCTGGGCCCCACAGCCTGTGGGACTCCGCGCTCCCATCCGGAGGGCTCAGAAGCTAAGTGCTACTTCTGGAAACTGGGCCCTGCCTGGGGGCTGCAGGGGCCAATGGTTGGAGCTTTGGGGTGGGGGGGCTTGGGAGACTGGGATGTGCCTGCTCCCAGGTCCAGGTGTAGGATTGGGGGCTTCCGGCTGGAGTCCAGTCAGAGCCCTCCCCAGACACTGGCTGGGCTAGGCAGGACTGGAAGGGAGACGGGCAAATTCCCAGTCTGATGAGGGAAACAGCAGAGGAGCCCCAAGTCAGACAGAAGAGACCCAGCCACCCCAACCAGCTCCATCCTGAGTGGGGAGGACCCTAGGAAGAGACCAGGGCTGCACAAGCTGTGAACTGCTCCCCACAAGGCCATACCACACACATCTGTCCTAGTCCTACCCAAGAGGTGTCGCCTGTCTCCTTCCCTCATCCACACCTTCAAGTGGTGCCTGAGCTGCCCAAAGACAGGCTGCAGCTGACAGGAAACAGGTAAGGTCCAGCTGCCTTGGAGACCGAAGCTGCCCACAGCTTGTTCTTGTAAATAAAGTTTTATTTAAACACATCTGTGCTCATCTGTTTGCCTGTTGTACGTGACAGTGCTGCCCTACAACTGGGGATCAGTGACTTGCACAGAAAGGTTTGTTCAAGCCCAGTTTAGATTCTGACAGAGGAGGA